TCACGATAAGAAGTTATTGTAGATGAAGCACAGGTTCGACCAACCAATCGCCATCTGGTGGAACAACAGAATCAGGAACACCAGAAAAGACACGTTCAGTAGACTACGGAAAATCATCCTCACAGAAGAAAACATCTCGAAAAACAACAAACTCATGTCGTTCCATATCATAAACTTTCCAACCTTTCTTGCCAAAGGGGTAGCCAAGAAAAACACACAATCGACTACGCTCCCCAAATTTATCCTTATCACGGGTAACGCGATGAGTGTAACAAGCACAGCCAAACACACGCAATTGAGAATAGTCCGGTTTACACCCATGAAGAATCTCATACGGTGTGCGACCCGTGTGAATAGAAGATGGAGTACGGTTAATAAGAAAAGCAGCTGTTAAGACTGCCTCTCCCCAAAATTTGATGGGCAAGTGAGCTTGGAACAACAAAGCTCGGGAGACATTAAGAATGTGCCAATGTTTCCTTTCAACTCGGCCATTTTTTTGTGGCGTGCCGACACAATAGGTTTGATGTAGGATCCTTTTTTCACGGAAATAGGAAGATAAACACATAAACTCCGTGCCGTTATCACTACGAACCGTCTTCACTGTTTTTATAAATTGTTTTTCAGCATATGCCAAAAAATTAAAAAGAACCCAACGTACTTCTGATTTTGCAAGTAACAAATACGTCCAAACTGCTCTTGAAAAGTCATCAACAATTGTTAAAAAATAAACTGCTCCGCAAGAAGAAGGAATTTTATATGGCCCCCAAACATCACAATGGATTAAAGAAAAACATTCTTGCGTTTTATTAATACTGTCTGGAAAAACCTCTCATGTTTGTTTTGCCCGAAAACATATATCACACGAGTGAGAACTAACAGCGGAAGAAGAAGAAGATGAAAACAAAGGCAAAGAAGAAAGCACTGAAAAGCTCGAATGGCCTAAATGACGATGCCACAAGGCTGGATCAAAAGAGACTTTAGCCGCATGTATCTTTGTGGAAGCAATATCCGTAAGGTAGTACACACCGTCACGCTCTTTACCGTTTCCAATCAGAGTCCTCGACAAACGGTCCTGCAAATAACAAATTGTATCAGTGAACAGAGTAATTCCCTTAGTTTGCTTCAAAACTTGAGAAACTGAAATTAAAGTGCAATTCAGAGAAGGCACATAAAGAACATTAGTCAACGAGACTTTGTTCGAGAGTGGTAATACTCCCACACTTAGAGCAAACGTCTTGCTACCATCAGCAAAACCCACGGGACATGGTGAGATAGACACCATATTAGTCATCATAGATAGGAGACCAATCATATGATGAGACGCGCCGGTGTCTAAAATAACATCACCAAACTTATCCTTACCAGACAAACGATCGGAGTTAGTAGTACTTGACTTTTCTTGAATCAATTGTGTCAAAAAACGCAACTGATCGGCTGAGAATTCCGGAAAAACAGAGGAATAAGAGCTTGTGGCATGAGCTGAGACGAGTGGACCAGAACCGCGACCACCACCTGAGCCACGGCCTCCTTTGCCTCGACCGCCAGACCTGCGGCCACCAGTAGAGCTACGCTCAGAACGCTCCACCCACCAATCTGGAAATCCAACCAGTTGCCAACAATTTTTTTGTTCGTGACCTGTTCGACCACAATGAGCACATGAGACACGTCCCTTTCCAAGAACCGAATCCGATTTTGCAAAAGATTGATCATGTTGATCATGGCGAGCGACGAAGCCAACTGCTTTATTCTTTTGCTCACGAAGACGAGCAGAGGCAAGACGTTGTTCCTCACAAACCACCTTGGAGTAAGCAACAGCAATACTTGGTAAAGGGTCTATACTAATGAGGTTTGTACAAAGCCCACCAAAACGTGCATCATCGAAGCCCATTAAGAACTGATGAAGCTTTTCTTCATCTCTTTCTTTCACAATTGCAGACATTGTTACACCACAGGAACACACCGGGTTTGATCGATAGCTCTTCAATTCGTCCCAAAGCTTACACAAACGGCCGTAATACTCGACCACAGATTGACCATCTTGACGACATGAGGCAAGCTTGGACTTGATCTGATGAACACGAACATTGTTTCCCACAGAGAAACGATGTGTCAACTCGTCCCACAACTCGTGTGCATCAGTTATGAACGTAACAGTAGATTTCAACTTTGGTTCATTAGAGGAACGAATCCACCCAACAATCATCGAGTTCACCGTTTTCCAGTTTTCAAGATCGGAACTGGTGTCTGGTGGCTTCGGAATTGAACCATTGATGTCTTTCGTTTGGCCTGAAGAGCGTTTAACATCTCATGAGACCATTCATTGTAATTTGTTTCGTTTAACAAAACGGAAGAAATTACAGAACCAGGGTTGTCAGAACTAGACAACGTGTAAGGAGAGACGACTGTCTGTCCGCCGGGTTGTGAAACAATAGCAGAATCATCAACCATCTTTTGTTTGAAACGTACGGTTTAAAACAAGGAAAAGAAGAAAATAGAATCAAAACTATCGATTGAAAAGAAAAACAATTTTGCTTTTTAAAGAGATCTTAGCTCTGATACCATGTAGAATTGGTTATCAAACTAACTTGATTTTATTAACATCCGAAACTTGGGTATTTATACAAACGTTTATGAACATAAGATAGATACAAACACTTCTAATCCTTATCACAATATATTTAGGAAACTTATCTAAGTAGATAATCCTTATCCTCAATAGGATTCATTCCTGCAATTCTCAAAAACTAAAAAGAAACAAGTCGGAATCAAGTATCTTTAAGCTATAAATCGCTAAAACAGCTATATCCAACTTATGACTGTTGAAATTTATTGAAAGAAATAAAAAACAAACATCGATCAATTGTGTACAGAATCCGATTTACGGCTGTAAAAACACCAGAGCTAGCTAACACTGCTTGAGTAAGCCGGACGCTACCAAACTAAAGACCACCACCGCTGAGTAAGTCGAAGGTGTCGAACAAGAAGCCCGACTAAATCGGGACAGCAAAAACCAGAAAAAAAACTCTGGCCGGCGAAAACATGTCACAAAGCCATCTCCCTCTCAGAAAATTTTTTAGAGAGAGAAGAGAGAGAGAGTTCGAAGTTTAACAATCTAAAAAGAATGTATTTCAATAAATTTAAATTAATAAATATGTGATATAATATGAAATTTAATAATGTATGTGAGAAGGTTCATAAAAATACATTTATTAGCTGTTTTAATATAAATATATGGTTATTATAGTTACCTAGAATAAATTCTTGTTGAGAATTTTTGAGAAATACCCCTTTTGGTGTACCCCTTTTTAAAAATACCCCCTTTATCTATCCATTTTCAAAAATACCCCTTTTAAATATAAAAAATTATAAATTTTTATATAGTTTATAAGGTAGTTCTATATAATAACTACTATTGGGAGATTCGATACAAATATTTTAAAATGTTTTAAATAGTTTTAAATCGTTTTTATAAGTTTTATAAGGTTTTTAAAAGGTTTTTAAAAGGGTTTATACGGGTTTTATAAGGTTTTATAAGGTTTTTATAATTTATTTTTACGCTATTGATGAAAGGTTTATAAAGTTTTATACACATATAAAGGTAATTTGTGTATATATTTATAAGCTTACACACATATTTGGATAAATTTCAACATTTTTAGTGGGTTTTTGATAAAGTTTGAAAATGGAGTATTTTTAAAAAGAGGTATATGAAAAGGGGTATTTTTGAAATTCCTCCAGTTTTGTTAGCAAATGAGGAAATCCCATTTACAGTAAAAAAAAAAACAATATCAGAAGAAACTTAAGACTTTGCTACGTCCCCATATATAATAAGATGTTTATGTGAAGAACTAGAAAATTATAAACCATCTCCATTTCTTCAATAGTAATTATACTAAGGACAAAATATGAGTATCACAAAATCTATTGTTACTTTTTTCTTGTAGTAGTAATATTGGCAGTTTCATTGTACAAGAACTACTTTATAGCCTCTGCAGGTATGTGATTTCTCACAAAATAATATATCTATGTTGTTTTTCATCTTTTTCATTTATCATTTTTAATATCAATAGTTGAACATAATGTTCTTGAAAAAAAAGTATAAAATTGATAATAGCCATTCAAGTGTATTTTAAAGATCTTCGATTAAAAAAAAGAAGTTAATTCACAACATTGATATATGTCATGTATATAATCATATAACATTTCCTACAACATAATAATAATAATCATATAACATTGTTACTCAATTTATTCAACCTACTTGTCGAGCATGAGGGTTCAAAGGTGGAGCATGTTATAATGTTTCTTATAAAAATGTTCAATGTTGTTGCCATAATGATTGAAAAAACACAAAATGATGTATCCTCTAACGATTAAGCAATTTGGGTGTTAATAATGTTTCTTGTTGAATTTTCTATTGAATAACAAATCCAATGAAGTAAAAACTCTACCCATGGGCAATTCTCTAAAATATTTGTAAACGCATGATTGATTTATTCGTATTAGCTTTAAGTGTATTCCCAACAGATTTGAACACTAAAGTCTTCAATCTAGAGTCTTGAGATATGCTTCTAAAAGTTTAAAGGACTTGATCTAATGCTTTTGAACTTTCTCATGCTGGCGCAAAACCCCAGCTATGTCTCTTCCGTTGAGCACTCTTTCAAAAGCTTGTATGCATTGTTTGCTCGAGCCGTCTATGATCACCAGTTGGTCAAGGATTTCGCAAAAGCCCTTTTTCAAGGTCGAATCCGCTATGGTTTGAAAAGATTTTTCAATCACTGCAAGCTTCTCAAAGTTGAACATCTCCTTGGAAAACTTACGGAACCTCTCTTGTTTGAGGCTTTAATTTAATGGAAACTCTTGTTTTTTCAATAAAATAAAATAAAAACTTTGAAGATGCTCATGTTACAAGAGGAATCAAACTTTGGGCAGTTTGTAGCAGTTATATACACCAGAGATAAATAAGCAAATAAGAGACTAGATAACTTTGCAAAGGTACCTTGTGGAAGTAAAAAGTTGTAGAAAAAAAATTAAGTCAAATACAAGCCTTGTAATAAATTTCCCAAAATAGCATAAGTCTCAAGAACAACAGATACAATGGTTCTCTAGCTAACGAAAACAATAAGAAGATACTGTTTTTTTCGATTTTGCTAATTGTTTAATAAACGATTTCTACTAAGCCTTTTCCATCAAAAGCTCCTCAATGAGCTCAGCTGCTTTCTCAACTGTTGTGATTGTCTGTGCTTTCTCCTCGGCCATTTCGATCCCAAACTCTTCCTCTAGTCCCATCACAATCTCCACCTGAAACCCAACCCAAGCGCACATGTCAAACGCATATATATACATTGTTCCTGCATTTCCAATTGTTGCTTATACAATAAACATAGCATATGCAAGCAACAAATTGACAAGGGGCCTTGGTTATGCATCAAGAGTTGAACTCAGTGGTTATAAAAAGTCGATGGATGTAGGACAATTACCGTGTCGAGGGAATCAGCACCAAGTTCAGAAAATTTGGTTGCACCCACAACTTTCTTGGTTTCATCAAGTGAGAGTTGCTTTCTGACTATTTCACAAACCTTGTCCACTGTCTCAGATTTTGCCTGTTTAACCACCAATTCAAAAAGGATAAATCAATCTTGTTCTCCCCAATCAACCATCAACGATAAAGAAAAACAACAAACATCGCTCTGTACATTCAAAATAAATCAATCTAGTTGTCCACAATCAAATCAAGCAACCATGACCACAAAAAACACATTGCTCTGCACTACAGATTCTACAAACATCATATAAGAAAAAACAAAGAGTCTTACAGCGCAGGAAACCGTCAAGCGGGTAGGAAGCTGACGAAGGTTAAAAGAAAGATTGCTTCTTCCATAGCTAAAGCATTTAACTTGATTAACCGCAATCGCCTGCCATCATCACATTCAACAAAACTCACAATCAAAACTCAAAACTCAGAAACGCTAAAGAATCTGCAACAACAAGCTTCTCAGATTCTTGAATTAACCAGTCATAGTTAAACAGAACAAATCCTCAAATCTAAACTAACAAGTTCATCATCACATTCCAAATTTTTAAAATCAAAACTCACAACTAACGAACACTAAAAACACGAAAGAGATAAACCAAAACAACAAAAACAATCTGCAACAACAAGCTTCTCAGATTCTTAAACAGTAGCAACTAAAACCTACACAAGAACTAATCCTTTCATTATAACTATTCGCCATAGCGATCAGATCGAATAGTTCCTTCACTAACTATACCCATCACAACTGATCTAAGCCATTTCAAACAGATCTAGACCAAAACGATTCTGCAATTAGATCGAGATCGAGATCAGATCTATAACAAGATGAGATGAATCGATGAAGAAACAAAAGAAGAAGAGATACCAGATGGCGAGAACGAGCTTGGAGGGAAGTGGAAGAAGCAATGGAAGCCATGGAAGAAGAGATCGGAGTTAGAGATCGGAGGCGGAGAGAGAGATGTGGGAGAGGTACAGTGAGAGTGATGAGCCAAGTGGGAGAGAGATTTTTATACTTAGAAAAATAAATAAAACGTTTTCTGAGATTCCAATGAAAGTGAACACAGAGAGACAAAGTCAGGTCACAGGTGAAGGTGGGTGATTTGACAAATGCAGGTTGGAAAAAATGATGTATTTGGCAAAGTTCCAATAAATTATTTTTTCTTTTAAATATGTAATTTTTTTGTTTTTGAAACTAATTTTTTTAAAGTGTAGTTAATTTCTATAGTTTGCATACATATTTTTCAAAAAAATTATGAGGTCTTTAGGCAATTGTAAGATTATTGAAATACGAAAATTATTATTATTATATTAGATAGGAATTTTCTTATTTTAAATAAAAATTTAATTATTTTTTAAATCTAATTGACAAAAGTTAAAATGATTTTGTTTAAGTCCAATTAATTCCTATAGTTACATTACATACATATTTTCATCTTTTCAAATATTATTGAGTTCTTTATGCAATTGTAAGATTTTAATTTTTGAAATATAAAAATTATTATATTATAGTAAATGAAATAACTTGTGTTTCATGAATTTTTTTAATCGAAAATGAAATCTGTAATTAGAATCATCTTTTAAATTTGATTGATACTATTATTAGTAAACAATGAAAATATTAAGACATATATGGTTATTTTCTTCAGTGAAAACATAGAGCATGTTTATTTCACCGCTGCAGGTAGTTGCGGCTGCGGCGGACGCGGGTAATGTTGTTTATTTGGTCACCGCTGGGAACTACGTCATAACGCAACGGCAAACGCATCGTTCTGCGGTAAACATTTTGAAATGCCAGTTAAAATCAGCAGTGGCGATTAAAATGTTGCGTTCAATTAGGAAATTGACAAAAACACCATTGTTTTGTTCAATGTTTTACAAAAGAATCTAAATCTAATTTGGACATAACACAAAGTGGAGAAGAAGAAGAACGAAGCGGCGAAGAAGAGAAGAAAAAAATCCAGATTCGATTTCTCTGCTTCTCTACTCTCATCTCTGTTATTTTGGTAAGCTATTATTCTCCATATTCTTTTATAATTATCTCAATCTATGTTTTAGCATGGATTGTGATTAGTTGATTGTGTTGTTTTGATGGATTTGAGATTAGTTGATTGTATTGCTTGTGTGGCTACAAACCTCGGATTTTATATATGAAATATGTTCTGAACACTAGACAACAAGATCTTTCCTTTGATGTAAAGATAGACTTTTGGTTCCATTTGGTTTGATAGGAAATTTCTTTCAACTTTGATTGTTTGTGGGATTGTATATGGTTATTTTCTTCAGCTAAAATATATTCTCGGAATTTCTTCAAGCAGGATTGGACCGGACTCTGACATACGGGCCTTTTAAGCCATTTTTGGGTTATGTTGTAGGTTACAAATTATTACTCTAGCCATGTGGTTCGTATCAACTCTTCCTCCAAACTGATTAAGTATATCTTATAGACATTTTACAAATGTTGGAAGGGATACCTTAGTTTGGCTCATTATTGGTATCCTCCTATCTTGGTTCGTTATGCTCATTGCGTGTAATACAAAGTTTTTTGTTTGGTCATTTGGTTAACCAAATGCTATGTAGCTAGGTATGTATATATATACCAAAAAAGCTAGTTGAAATGTGATTTGTATTTGGTAGCCAACGATTAAGGTTATAGAAAGCTATTGGCTGCAACCACGAGTGATGAAAGAGTTTGTCGTACAAGTGTAAATTAATTGGAGGCAAACTTGGTGTTGTGAATATTAATACAACTTGTCAAGCACTTGAAGGGCAAGGCATGCTTTTTTGTCGCCTTATCGTTTTCTTCTCCTTAGAATGATAAGTGTGATAGTGATGAACAATTCCAATGTTGAAAATATTGAATATTTTCTTGAAAAATCATGTGTACAAAATAATTGTTAAATTTGTTTTCTGGGCATCGGAGCCGAGGTCTATAATTTTCCTATGGTCCGGGAAAAATCGGGTGAAAACTCCTGATCAAGTGGAAATATATGAATGCATATAATTCTTAGAAAACTCTCAATAATCTTAAGAGGGTAATTGGTGAAAGCAAAACATAAATAATGCGAGAGCTTTCAACAAAATTGGAAATTGAAAGATGTTGTTAATCTAAAAGTTGTTGTCCTGCATTCATTTTTAGTTGAAACTAAAAAAACTATCAACTATAGATATAGCTAGGATTTGTATAGATAATTCAGTTTACAAAAAAAAAAAGATAAGTTTTATTGATCTCTTATGTTTTACATACGCACGTAACATACATTATATAATATATATGAACTTCCATCATGGTACAATATTACATATATATAACAAACTTATAAACTTCACACCCATCTAGACACATATCTAATATATATCACACCCACACACACATGCACCCTCCATGGCTGATTCACAAACGTGCTTAGCTCTCTCTCATCATATCTCTACTTCTCCAACTTGAACCTCTAAGTTCATACATATGTTCCCTCACCATCTTCTCTTTGATGACTCAATTACTGTTTTGTGGCTTGAAGCTTGAAGAATTTGGAGGTGAAGCCCACATGGCTCGGTTTGGCCTAACCCATCCACCAGAAACAATCATAGTTGGCTGTTCATTCATGTTCTCCTTTTGACTTGACTTGTTCTCTGATTCATAATGCTTCCATTTTGGTATCTTCATAGTAGTTGTGTACTTCTCCTTTGCTTTACCTTCTTCCCTTGAACCAACCTGTCTTTGAGTTTGTTGTCTATGACCGATAATTATATTGACTGACTTCTCTACCTTAGTAACTACACGGTCAGGTCTAAGATCGTGATGAGAGAAACCATAATGGTTCTTCTCTTCGAGGTTGTATCCACCATAGCGAGCCACCATTTTTGCAAGGGAGAGAATTAGAAGAAGCTTTCAAAGTTGGAATGATATAAACACACATCTCCCTCTTTTATATTGGTCTTACACATGAAGCTTGGTAGTGAAGGCACTCAAGAATCGTATTCTTCTACTTTTAATATTAAACGTACAACAAAGAAAAGAGAATATAATCGTACTTTCAAGATTTTGAAGTACCGTTTACACTCTAATCTTTTTGCCATCTAAAAAGGATGCAAACACAACCATCCATGGATATGGATTAGTCTCCAAAGTTTGAAAAATAATAAATTTTATTAGTACGTATCTTATAGCCATTACTTTATTTGATTAGTCATTACGATATTTCCCGTTAATGTAATATTTTTGCATTGTGCAAATTACTCAAAAAAAGAATTGTGCAACAAAATATTTGCAATTACTTTGATTTTTTTTTCAAACATAATAATTGCATATACTACCATTGTGCAAATTACAACATTATTCTTTTCATATATATCATTAATTATTTAAAAAAAATAAGCACAATGGTATATGTAAATATATATATTTTTAAACCATATCGGTTGATCCGGTCAGCCTGGTAAAAATACATCGAAGTGTTTCACAGTGTAGAATGTACTCTCTGAAAGGTCACCGCACTGTCCGTCCTGAATTTGAATGCTTTCCGACTAATGCCTACGCATGCAATTTTGACGACCATTTAAACTAACTGAAGGCCTAGTTGACATATTTTCCACCTAACTATTATTTTTGTTTGCAAGGTGGATCGAACATAGATTAGTTACTTTCAGCTTTTCCTCAATTTTTTCATACCACTAGACCACATCTGTGTGGGCTATGCATATGATATTTGTTTCACAAAAAAATAAGAAAAACAAATATATATTTCTAATTTGATTTGGAGAATGTTACTAACATACTATAAATATATACATAAGTACAACTTATATATATTGATAAATTTGCACGATTTTAACATTTGAGAAAACAAACAAATAATGGGAAACAATTTATAAAAAAAAAAAAAAAAATCTTCTTTGGAATCATTAAACCATAGTAAAAAACAAATATTTGTCCCGATTTGTTTATACTTTATGGAAATCTCACATTCACATCCATACAAGTATATGTCATATACCCCAAAAAACAGTTTTACAAAAGAGAAAACATAAAAGATGAAGCAATGTAATAAAAGAGATGTGGTTGTAATAATACGTGGTACGATGATGGGTGGGCTTAGTGTGTGGACATGTGATTCATAGTTGTTTCAAACTAAGACGAAAGGACTCAAAACTAAGAAAGGAATATAAAATGAGAATACATCCAAAGGATTGATATACGTTCGTACGCGTAGAATAAGAATCTATGCTTTGCTTTGTGTTTTGCTTCTTCCCTTCTTTACCGTTAAAAATACTTACGGAACCCATTTGAACACGTCTTTCGTGTGACCTAACCCACTAAGACAACACCAAACCAAACCTAACTTTTTGTTTTGTTTTTTTTTTCATTGTAGTTATTGTTATAAGGAATTAGAAACACAAAAGATATCTATCAGAATGTACGAGAAAGATTATACCCGAAAAAAGAAGAAGAGAAGGAATCTTGATGCTAGTAACTATCTTAGTGTGTAATCTTGATGACGATTGTAAGGAAAGAATAAATCTAAAGAAAAGTGTGGTTCAATTATTTAATATATGAAATTTGATATCTTTGAGCTTATTATAAAATGTTTCTTCATAAAAAAAATTTTGGTCTAACTTTAACAAACATATATATACAAAAAAAGATTCTTCATGGATTGTGAATCACTAGCTATCACTATCTAGTGTGGCTTCTTGGTTGAAATTTTTGTATAATTTGGGGATTTCCGGATTCTAATGTAATTGGTTTATGAAGTTTTAGTTATTTGGTTAACTTGATGACTTATAAATTTGATTCAAAATAGTTGAAAGCAATATATAAAATGATATATAGAACCATAACATGGTAGAAATTAAAATGATAATGAGAGAACTAAAATTAAACAAACAAACTTACAAATTGAAAACTAATTATTCATAGGGATTGAAAGGAAAAATTAAAAAATTAGAAATATATAGACATACCTATATATATATATATATATATATATAATTAATTATCATAGTTTAAGAAGTGATTAGTTTATTAGTTCTTTAACTTGATGATACTTTCAATATAAAAAATTTTGTCACAAAAATAATATTTCTCAAAGGTGACATTATTTTAATATTTTTAATTAATTTGCTGTCAAGTGTCAACCCATCTAATTGACCCTTATGAATTTACAATTTTTTTTTTAAAAATACTTGTATTTTTAGAAGCAAATTTTTTGAAAAAGTGGTTTAAAATATGCTTATTGACCCTTACAAATAGTTAAAAAATATGTTTATGACCCCTACAAAAATTTTATTAATAGATTTTAGTTATTAGATAAAATTTGACCCCTACAAAAATAATTTCTAACTCCGCCACTGCATCTAAACATAGCTTATGCAATGTTTTATCTTGCATCACCCACCCTTACCTACATGTCTTCCCTTTGAGCCATATATAGTGTGGAAGCTTAACTAATATATTTGAAACTACCATTCCATGGACCTAACCATGTTTAATAGTTTTCAATTTGGTTTTTTCTTGTGTGTGTACTTGTTGTATTCCACGTCGCAGTTAAATGTCTCTACCACAAATTCTATAGCTAGCTAAAAATACACAAAACTACAAAATTTCTTTATTTCTCATTTAAGTAATATGCAAAAAAAAAGAAACCAAATAAGAAAGATGGGATGAAATTTGAAAACATCTTTTTTGCAAACTAAAGATACTTTATATTTAGCACTTTCTATAACATAAACAAATGTAAAAGGAAACATAAACAAAGAAGAAAAATTAATAATATTTTTGTCTATTTTTAAAAAACTTTTTGTAATAAGATATTTGTAAAAGTTTCAATCTTTTCTCATTTCTCTAAATTTTTATTTTTTTCTTTCAACCCAAAAATTACGTTGCCTGCCTAAATCAAAGGCAATGGCAACATGTTCTTCAAGCTTATTGGTGTTACCAACAAATTTGAGATGGAATTGTAACAAAAGAACCAATTTCAAGGTAAGAGCTCAAATCTCTGGTGAACATAAGAAGACGACATCAGCTGAGCCTGTGAGCAACGGTTCGGTCTCTGTGTCTTCTACTGTCCAAAACCATGAAGTGAATGGGAAAGTTAAATCACAGAATAAGTTAGTGAGTGATGAGATTGAGCTGTTATGGGATGATGGGTATGGCTCCAAATCTGTCAAAGATTACTTTGCTGCGGCTCAAGAGATCTTGAAAAAACCAGACGGTGGTCCTCCTCGGTGGTTTAGTCCTGTTGAGTGTGGTCGGCCTGTTGAAGATGCTCCTACGTTGCTTTTCTTACCCGGTAAACAAATGGGTTTAATTTGGATTCAATGGTTTTGTAGCTTGATTGTGTAAATTGTCTTGCTTTTTCTGATACTTGTAGGTTTTGTGTGTGTCTGTGTGTGTGCTTATAAGCTAAAGATTGAACCTTTTTTTGTTTTTGACTATTCTTCTAAAGTTTGAAACTTTGTATTTATTCCTCACTTTCAAAGTTTGAAACTTTGTATTAATTTCTCTGTTCTTCCAATGCTTGATTGTTTAAGCTGTTTATGTGTGCTCATAAGCTAAAATTTAAACCTTTTTAGTTTGACTATTCTTCCATAGTTTGAGACTTTGTATTCATTGCTCACTTCCAAATTTTTAGACTTTGTATTCATTTCTCTATTCTTCCTATGCTTGATTGTTTTGGCTGTTTTTTTTTGTGTGTGTGTGCTCATAAGCTAAAAATTAAACCTTTTTAGTTTTGACTATTCTTCTAAAGTTTGAAACTTTGTATTCATTTCTCAGTTCTTCTAGAGTTTGATTGTTGAGGCTGTTTTGCTGAATTCTAAATAATGGGTTTTTACTGTTTTTGATATGTATCCGATTCTTAGATTATCCTTCCTTAGTTCCAAGCTTTTAATATGAATTTGACTTTGGTAATGCTTAATGATTCAATTTTTGTATACAGGGCTAGATGGTACAGGGATGGGCCTGGTTCCACATCACAAAGCTCTTGGCAAGTATGTTCACTCTTTCTTTTAAGTCTCGGTTCTTTGATATGACAGTGCAAGTAGAGATATATAAACTTGAACCCTTAATGCAGAAGCAATAGTATCTATTAGCAAGAATACTAATCCAAATAAAGTAACCATGCTTCTGATGCAAAAAACTTGCACTTTGTATGATGATGGATCTCGTGTATTTTTCACATCGCACAAGTTTTTGCAGTCTAAACTGTTTGGTATGTATTTTCTCTAAACAGGGCTTTTCATGTCTGGTGCCTGCATATTCCTGTACTTGACCGAACTCCATTTGAAGGTAATAGAAAGACAGCGATATAAACATTTGGTTATGCAGATTTTTATAGTTACTTGTCTCTTTAGTATCATAGAAATATCTTCCCTGGCTTATGTTAACTCTTTGAAATATATGTCTGTGTATACATAGATATTTACGAGTATACATACATATTACAATGCTTAGATTACTTGGACTCAGCTCATTATCTTTGACATCAGATAGGAAATTGATGTTAGGAAAAGATTTCTATGAATGAATATTGGTTGTCCGATTTTACGTACTTTATGTTTATGATTAACTTTCAAATGGATAGAAATATCTAGTGAGTGCTTCTCTATAAGGTCGTTAGTTGTTTGCTCGAGTTATTATGATTGTTCTCTAATGTTGGTGTAACTATAAAGGGCTGTTGAAAGTAGTCGAAGATGTATTGAGGCAGGAGCAGGCTAGACGACCAAATAAGCCGATTTATCTTGTTGGCGATTCCTTTGGAGGATGCCTGGCTCTTGCTGTTGCTGCCAGAAACAGATCATTAGACTTGGTGTTGATACTTGTCAACCCAGGTCAGCAAATATTTATGTATACAGTTTTGTAGCTTTGTATCTAAATGCATACTTGCATAAGCTTGTTATGATTGACCAAATACGTTTTCCCTTTTTATAGCTACATCGTTTGATAGGTCACCGCTACAGCCGTTGCTGCCTATATTAGAGATGGTGCCAGAGGAGCTTCATTTTACAGTTCCATATGCTCTAAGCTTTATTATGGGTACATGAACTGATGTTTGTTGTATAAGTTAATAAGTCCTTTTTTCTTTTCTTTTTAAATTGTCTTTACTTAGGCTTTCTTGGTCTTTTAGGTGATCCAATAAAGATGGCAACACTTGGTATCGCCAACCAACTTCCAACAGGTGTAAAAATGGAAAAGTTGAGACAAAGGCTTACTAAAACTATGCTTCCCCTTCTCTCTGTAAGTGTTTTCTAATTACATTTACTTTGTTGGTTAGTCCTGTTTCTATACAAAATGACATTTTTCCTAACCATACTCTTTCAGGATCTCGGTGAAATTATTCCCCGGGAAACACTACTTTGGAAGCTTAAGTTGCTGAGATCTGGTTCTGCTTATGCCAATTCCCGTATCCATGCAGTTGAAGCTGAAGTCCTGGTCCTTGCTAGGTAATCTTCTTACTTATTGTAGTGCAATCTCTTCGTTATTTGTGGTCTACAATGACTGACATATCATCAAGAAAATGAAAATGATTTTGGATTTCATGGACTTTCAGTGGAAAGGACATGATGCTTCCTAGCCAAGAAGAAGCGAAGCGGCTTCATAGGGTACTAAAAAACTGTGCAGTTCGATGCTTCAAGGAAAATGGGCATACCCTTTTACTGGTAATTAAAATTCACATACTGCTTAATTTTGAATGCATTTCCTTTTCTTCTGGATGGTATGTGAAGTAGTGTCAGAGTAATTTCTTACAAGAAGAGTATGAATATTATCCATTGACTGACTATTATTCATTTTCCCAGGAAGATAACGTCAGTTTGCTCACAGTTATAAAGGGTACAGGCAAGTACCGGCGCTCCTGGAGATATGATTTAGTTTCTGATTTCGTGCCTCCAAGTAAGGGAGAACTTGATTATGCCCTTGATGAAGTGCTTGGGTAACTTTGCTGTCTGTTTCTTGACTCTTGTTCTCTTATGAAAAAAGCTCTATCTACTAAAGTATTTATAACTTTCTGCTATATGATATGCAGATTCTTGCGAAATGCCGTTGGTTCTGTGTTTTTCTCAACTATGGAAGATGGAAGAGTAGTGAAGGGACTTGCTGGTGTTCCAGGTGAAGGGCCAGTTTTACTTGTTGGTTACCACATGCTGATGGGTCTTGAACTTGGTCCAATGTCCGAGGCATTTATAAAAGAGAAGAACATTCTGTTTCGTGGAATGGCCCATCCGATTTTGTATTCAGATAATAATCCAACCAAGGAGTTTGATTATAGTGATTGGATTAAGGTATTTGGTGCCTATCCTGTCACCGCAACCAATCTCTTTAAGCTGTTATCTTCTAAATCTCATGTCCTTCTCTTCCCCGGCGGTGCACGAGAGGCTCTCCATAACCGGGTTAGCCATCTTTCTTATCTTTTCTTTCTTAGTTTAGTAGAAGGAAAATTAGTAGCCAAAAGGAGTGATTCCACCCACTTAAACGGATGAAATAAAACAGTATTGATCACAGCTGAACCTGCATATCCCCCACTCAGGTCATAGAGACATGAGGAAAAATTGATAAAACTGTTGCTGCTATAACACAGTTTTATATACACTACTTTCTATGACCTTACAGGGTGAAGAGTACAAACTAATTTGGCCGGAACAGCAAGAGTTTGTAAGAATGGCAGCACGGTTTGGTGCAACAATAGTCCCGTTTGGAACGGTTGGTGAAGACGACATAGCTGAAGTAAGCTTTCCTGTCACAGCAAAACTTCCCAAAACTCAAATTTCTTGTTCACAGTTATTGAAACGAGCCAAACATATATTTTCTTTGGCGCTTGCAGTTGGTTCTTGATTACAATGACCTGATGAAGATCCCTATTCTCAGTGACTATGTCAAGGAAGTCACTAGCGATACCAAACGATTCAAATTAAGGTAAAATTTGCGTTTACATCAAGTGTAACAATCCCAGTGTTGTTGTACTAGTCAAAGATTGATGAGTGTTCTTTGTGATGATAGGGAAGAATCAGATGGAGATGTGGCAAACCAGCCACTATACTTACCAGGACTCGTACCGAAAATCCCGGGTAGGTTCTATTACCTGTTTGGGAAACCGATCGAGACAAAGGGAAGGCCAGAACTTGTAAAGGACAAAGAAGCAGCAAACCAAGTTTACTTGGAGGTAAAAGGGGAAGTAGAGAATAGTATAGCCTATTTGTTGAAGAAAAGAGAGGAAGATCCATACAGAAGTGTCATAGACAGATTAAGCTACAGTTTGACTCACACTACTCATGTTCCTACATTCGAGCCATGATTCAAACAAAGTTTAGTCTTCTTACAGACACAACAAAACATGTGTTCTATTCATAATTTGTCGTATAGAAAATTCAACATTTCATGTATATCCCGTCGTTTATAAAAGATGGAAAAAAAAATTCACTCGAGTGAACGAAGTCGTTATTGGCTACGATAGTCCACGCCAACGTAGATGACAACGTCTCTTTTCTGGTTTAGCCCTAGGACTTCGGTTTTTTAGGGTTTTTTGTTTTTTGTTTTTTTTTTGAAAATTTTACCGAATTAACCAAAATAAATTTCGGTCCGGTATTTTGGTTCTAAAATTCTTAAACAGAAATTTAGTTTATTTTATTTATTTATATTTATTTATTTTTATTTTTTTTGCGTTTTTTGGGGTTTTAAGAGTATTTCGGGTTATTTCGGTATTTTAGGTTTTATTCAAATACTTCGGTTATTTCGGTTATTTAAAGTGTAAATTTCGGTCAACCAATAACCAAACTGAATAAACCGAACTATTTTGGTTTTTCAATTTTTTTTTTTGCCGATCAAAACTAAAACCAGACCGAACACTCAAAATATCGGTTCGGTTTGGTTTAGTTATTTCAGTTCTTTTTTTAATCTCAGGGCTATCTGGTTATATGCAGTATATACATTAGTAGTGTAACACCCGTGTTCGTAAATGGGTGGTGTCGATCGACACCAACATTTTTCGGTTAGACCGGTTTGATTTTAATTGCGAAATTGATTGGGGTTGGGTTGGTTAACCCTAGGTCGTGTTTTAAAGGGAGGAGAAGTCGAGTTTTGTTCTTTTCAGCCGCTTTTTATCATTTCCAGAGAGGGTGAAGAGTTCTCAAAGTTTCTAAAGTTTTCTGAGGGTTCTCTGAGGCTTTTTGGTGGTGTTAAATGGCTGTTTTTGGTGGTTCTAAGCTAGTGTAAGTGAGATCCGTGCTGTATGGTGTTAAGATAGTCAGATCCTTGCTTGTTCTTCCTTGTTTTTGTTGTTGTTCATTCATTTCACATGTGAGTGCATGACCAAGGCTTATCTAAGCAGTATGATCATTGTTTTGTGTGTTTTGATAATTGTTTGATTGACTTCCTTGCTTGTTTGGTTGTTTATGTGTTGTATGATCCTTGTGAAACCCCTTGGAGACTCACTCGTGGCTTGGGAGTGTTTAGGAGTGGAGATTCCGTGAGAAAACGCAATTGGAGAGTCTGCAAAATGTCGGTGTCGATCGACACTAGTGGTAGGTGTCGCTCGACACCAACGTTTTGTTCCGCGAGGATAGTTGCGACTTGCGAATGGAGTGCCGGGCTCGGTGTCGACCGTGAGTGTCGATTGACACCGCGAGGAGTGGCGAGAGTGCATCATGTTTGGGCCAGGTGGGCCTGGCGTGCAACCAGGTGTGCAGTGGGGTGTCGGGGTTGTGCAGCTAGAGGGCATATGTGCAGTTATCGAGCAGTCGTACTATTTGCGAATGATAGAGCAGCTGCAGCGGTTCAGAATGTCCATGTTATTTAGAGATTCCGATCCAGCTGTAGTGGATGAGTAGCGGATGAGATTGGACATGTACTTCCAATATATGAGATGCCCGGAGGCGTACCAGGTGGACCTAGCAGCTCACTACTTGGCTGGTGATGCACACTTGTGGTGGAGGAGTGTGTTGGCCAAGAGGGAGCAGAGATTGATGGTGTTGGGGGACTTCTTGGTAGAGTTTAATGCCAAGTATTTTCCGGCGGAGGCATTGGACCGCATTGAGTAGCAGTTTCTAGCGTTGACTCAAAGTGAGCAGTTGGTGCGGGAGTACAACGTAGAGTTTAGCAGACTCTTGGTGTACTCGAGTCGTGCGGGAGATCCAGAGCAGATGCAGGTGCGTCAGTTCATCAAGGGTCTCAACCACGACATGAGGGTCCAATGCAAGGTGCAAACCTACGCGTCGCGTGTGGAGCTGGTTGAGGTGGCGTTGGGTATTGAGGACGAGCTGAGGAGTCATCTGGTGATTTCTAATCCGTCGGTGCAGCAAAAGATGGCCCAGCCGAATTTCGTTCTGAGCAGGGGCGGCAAGCCTGCTCAGGGACATAAGAGGAAGAGGGACGATGCTTCCAAGGTAGGTAAAGGTGGTCGGGGATACTTCGGGTGCGGGAGCATGGATCACAAGCTGGCGAGCTGTCCAAAGAAGAACGAGCCGCGCGTGGAGACTCGTGTTTGTTTCCACTACAAGGAAACGGGGCACATCAAGGCGAGGTGTCATAAGGCGCAGAAGATGGTGGTAGCAGCGCTGTAGTCAGTGGTGCAGGCGGGGATGCAGCAGTGGGTGCAGCTGTGGAGTGCAACTGGGAGTGCAGCCGTGGTCTCACCTGGGAGCGCCGCAACCGGCGCAGATCGAGGAACCGCATGTTTACTCGACCGTGGAGATGGGAGAGCCAAGCACCGTTCGACCGATCATAGGTTTAATTCTAAGACTCAGTCTGCTTCCGTTAAATCGTTTTAGAATTGTGGAGTTGGGGGTACTTAGTGTAAGGGTTTGTGAAGGGACCCTGTTAATGGGCGGGTTCTCGCCCCACGTGTTATTTGATTTTGGAGCTACGAATAGCTTCATCACTCCGGAGTGTGCGGCGGGTGGAAATATCCGAGGAGATCCTGGTGGTTATTTCGGAGCTGTTAGATTCGTTGGAGGCGCATTGCTAGCGGTTTTTTAGGGACAAGCGAGTGGTTTGGGTGTGCAGATTGTGGGAGAGTCGATCCCCAGCAGATCTGTACATTAGTCTCCTGGAGCTGTATAATGTGATTCGGGGCATGGATTGGTTGGACTGACATAGGGTTCATCTGGATTGTCACCGGGGGAGAGTCTTCTTCGAGCGGTCCGGACTGAAGTTGTATTACCAGGGTGTGAAACCGATTTCGGGGAGTTTGGTGATTTCGGCGATTAAGGTAAAGAAAATGATTAAGATGGGACAGGAAGCTTACATGGCGACCATTGTGATGCCGGAGAAGTAGCGATGAGTAAGATCCGGTGGTCCAAGAATTCGAGGACGTGTTTCAGTCGTTGAAAGGGTTACCACCATCTCAGTGTGATCCTTTCACGCTTTAGTTAGAACCCAGGACAACGCCGTTGCCTAAGGCTCCGTACAGGATGGCTCCAGCAGAGATGGATGAGCTGAAGAAGGAGTTGGAGGATTTGCTAGGTAAGGGCTTCATCCGTCCCAGTGTTTCACTGTGGGGACCACTAGTGCTGTTTGTGAAGAAGAAGGAGTAGAGTTTCCGGCTATAATTTTAACATGCTATAATTTAGTTTAATCATAATTAAAAAGTTGTATTCATTAAAGATGTTTCATACATTTATTTAAGTGTCCGAAAATAATGTAAGGTATGACTTTTTGGACGACGAATTATTCAGTTTGTGTTATCGTCTATGTAATCGGTTGATATATGAAATAAAGGCCCAATTTGTACAAAATTAAGGCCCATGTTGTAGTCAATAAAACCCGCATGTCCCGACACGTTTACACCCATTGAAATTTGGAAAACCAGTTTATTAAGATCCAATTAGAAATTTCGGGTTGTTTTTTTTTAAAAAAACTCGACCCTAGAAGCTTTTTGTACTTTTCTTTTACTATAAAAGGGATTGTGGACAACAAATGATAACATACACATTTAATATAAATTAGACAAGCAATAAATTTATTTTCTACCAATAAGAAAACCTTGTAGACAACAAAAGGAAAATACTTCCATGGGACAATGGAGCATTGACCAACAAATTACTTCATGAAAGATTTTATCTACCCATTGTTAAGGCAAGTATTATGTGGACAGTTGTGTAACACCTGTGTTCATGTTTGCGCAATGTCAATCGACACCACCCTTATGTGGATATCGATTGATACTAAAATTTTAGGCAGGTTAGCTTAAATCGTTAGCTTAAATCGTTAGTTTAACTCGATTTGATTAGGAAAAACACTCTGGACCATCTTGTTGAATTTGATAGGCTGTGTGGCCTAACTAAAATTAATGGTGTGAGTAAAGATGAGTTCAAACTCAGGCTATTCTCATCTCTTGGGGATAAATTACATTAGTGGGAGAAATCATTGCCACCAGGATTTGTTATAACTTAGGAGGAGTCTAAAACGGTTTTTTTTTCTATGTTTTTCTCTAATTTCCGCATTTCTCGCTTCACGAATGAAATATCTGGTTTTTGCCAAACGAATGGAGAACCCTTTTGTGAGGCTTGGGAACACTTCAAAGGATACCAATCACATCGTCCTCATCATGGGTTCAGCCATGAATCACTGGTAAGCACACTCTGCAGAGGAGTACTTCCAAAGATCAGAATGCTTCTTGATACAACTAGCAATGGGATCTTTCTTAACAAGGATATAGTGTATCAAAGGGGAACAATGATTAACAAGGATTACTCAAAGGGGAATATAAGGGCTGGTCTACTCTGTTGAATCTCTTCTAACATACTCTGTATTTTATTTTCTCTCTTTCACAGCTAGTCTCTGCAAATAAATCAGATTCAGCTATTACTGCTAAGCTTGACTATTAATGCTTTTTAAGCTTGAGCAAGCTCATAGAGAGGCATTGAGGACCTCTCTGGAATCACTTGGTCTTCATTGTGCTTCTTCACCCATTGACCGTTGATCGTGAATGAATTTCCTTCTTTGTCTAGTAAAGTGATTGCTCCATAAGCCAGAACTGCTTTAACCACAAAAGGACCAAACCATCTTGATTTCAACTTCCCAGGAAAGAGCTTGAGCTTTGAATTAAACAAAAGGACTTCATCTCATGTATAAGTTCCTTTTCCATGATTTTCTTGTCATGAAACACTTTAATCTTTTTTTATAGATCTTGTAACTCTCTTAAGCTTCCAATCTTATTTCTTCCAATTCATTGAAATCAAGGTCTCTCTTCTCTTGTGTTGTTGTGATGTCAAGGTTCAAAAGCTTGGCTGCCCACAAAACTTTGTACTCAATTACACTAGGGAGATTGAACTCCAAAGGACCTAAAATCCTAGTACCAGAGATGTACGTCATTATTCTAGGTATAGATTGGATGGATCGGTGTACATCGTATCTCAATTGTCATCACGGGGGGGGGGGGGGATTGTCGTGTTCGATCAGGAGTAGGGGAGGTTTGTGTATTGGGGTGTTTGATAGAATTTTCGGAGTCTCGTGATCTCGGCCATGTTGGCAGAATAAATAATCAAAAAGGGCCACGAGGCATATATGGCAACGATTAATACCCAAAGACAGTTAAAGCGGTTGAGATTTATTAGATTCAGGCTGTTCAGGAGTTCAATGATGTTTTTCAGTCGTTGCAGGGGTTGTCGCCGTCACAGTTAGATCCTTCACGATTTAGTTGGAGTCAGGGATGTTGATGGTATCTAAGGCACCCTATATGATGGCTCTAGTGGAGATGACATAGCTGTAAGGTTTTTATTCAGTAGACTATTACACCATGGGGAGCGCTGGTATTGTTCGTTAAGAAGAAGGATGCGAGTTTCCGGTAGTGCATAATCTATTGGTCCGTACCTTTACCCTTCTCCTAAAAGCTCAATCCATTTTTGAGAGAACCTTGATCTCATTTGACAAACCTTCTCTAAAGAAGACCTCCTCTGTCTCTAGCCCTTTTTACCAACCCAAATGAGGTTATAGTCAATGCATAACCAGATTCATGGTTTTTCTTTAATAAATGTTAAAGGGAATTGTTGATTCAAATGTTTGTCTAGGTTATAAGGCTGAACACACTTTGTGTTGTGATGAGCATGACTAAAGTTTTCAGAGTATAAGATAGAACAGTAGACTAGGACCTTGATTTTAACTACTTTAGCAGCAATAATTTGGTTATGAGTTCCTACTTTTAAACCTCTCTCCCAGCTTCAGACTTGTTTGATTACTTGAGAGGCCAAGCAAAGAATAAGCTCGAAGAAGATGATGTCGATGTATTTTACCCCTCTTAAACATGCATTTAGTGCTAGTTTTTTTTGCTTAATTTGGTCCTTTGTTCATATCACTTTAGAGTCTTTAATGACTGTTTTGTATTCGAAAGTTATTTTGCATTAGTTTGCACATATTCTTGCATTTCGAGTGTTATTAGTGTTTTGGAACTCTAAAAGACTAAGTAAGGAGCTGGGTGCCACGAACCGTTTTCTTGGAACGGTTTGTGACTCTCGCGTTGCTTACGCGGGGCCATTCTAACTAGGGCTTGTATCATGCTTCAGTGAGGAGGACGTGCAGGACTCAGGTTGACGAGTCCCTTCGAAGAAGTCAGGCGGAAATCACTTGATAGATTCAGTTGTTTGTTGCTGATCGAAGATTAGACTTAGAAAAAAGGATTAGACATCCCACTGATCTGATCTGGAACTCATCATCTGATGAACCCAAAACAGACAAAATCAGTTAAAAATAGTTTAAGGTATGAAAGCTGACTCGATAATATATGAGTATTATTGAGTGCTGCATGGTATTCAGAAATGAACCCGTAATATTGGGCTACTTTTGGATCCAAAGAAGACCTTGATGAAAAGGAACTAGTCTAAAGTCTCTCACAAACCGACTCGTATGAACCTCTTTCCTTGGGATCTAGCTCTAGAGTGATGCATCAAAGTATTTATGTAATTGAGTAAGCTTTGTTTTTGACATTTTTCCCTAATTAAAACCGACTGTGAAAACCAAATCAAACCGTAATTAATTTGAATTAAATTTGTAAACCGAAATTACAAAAACCAAACTCTCTCACGCAATCATCTTCTTCGATCTAACGTAATCGAATCCGTCATCACCGATCTCACCGCTCTCACATCTCTCATCTCTTCGATCACTTACAGTGATAAATCTCTCTCAACCCTTTCTTCGAATCGATCAACCCAAGCTTCCACGAAGAGTAAGAAGAGGTTAGAGAAACCAATTTCGTTACTTTTTTTCTAAATCGATTTCTGGGTTTTGACAGAATCGAACATATATGATCAATTGCGTTGATACTATTACAGGAATGGCACAAGAAGCAGATGGGATCAGATTAGAGCAAAGACATGGGAAAGCTCGAGTGAGAGTAGGAAGAGTCTGGCGTCATGGTCATGATGGATCTCATTACTTTGTTGAATGGAACGTTAGTATTAGTCTTCTCTCTCACTGTCTCTCTTCTTACCATCGTGATGATAACTCCGATATTGTCGCTACTGATACCATGAAAAACACTGTAAGTTCTAAAAAGATTCAAACTTTTTCATTGCCCATTTCAGTTCTGTGGCTGTAGATCGTATAGATTGATCTGTAATGAACTCTTGAGGATATTGTCGCCAATGATACCATGAAAAACACTGTAATGAATAAAAAGATTGGAACTTTTTCATTGCCCATTCCAGTTCTGTGGCTGTAGTTCATATAGATTGATCTGTAATGAAGAATTTTTGTTGGAACTTGTGGATATTGATATTTGGGTTAGGACTTGTTTCTCTGGTTGGCTTTAGTCTTGGATTTGTTTCAGCAAGATACTAACTTTGTTCTTGTTCATGGTTATATCTATTGATTTGTAAAATTTACATCCAAGTGTTTTGACCAATCTCTTATGTTTGAATGAAGGTTTATGTGAAAGCCAAGGAATGCGGAGATCAGCTCTCTGTGGAGGAATTTGCGATACTTCTTGGGAAACACTTTTGCTCATTTTATCCACAGGTATCATTGAATTTTATGATGTACAGTTTCTTAGCGTCTTGCAATAGTGTAATTTAAGCTCGTTCGTTGTTGGTTTACCAGGTTTTTACTGCTATAGTAAGTATCATTGAGAAGCCTTGGGAGCGTGTATCAATCGATGGAAAACCACATTTACATGGTGGGGTTTTAACTTTTTTTTTTTTTCTTTTCTGGAATGAGTTTTGCTATAGTTTGATGATTTTCTCAAACAATTATTTGTTGAAGGTTTCAAGCTTGGATCAGAGACTCACACTGCAGAGGGACGAGTAGAAAAGTCTGGTGCACTAAACTTAACTTCTGGTATTGCAGGACTATCTCTACTGAAGACAACCCAGGTATACAATATCTTTCTGCATGTTTATGTTGTTTAACAGGTGTTGAGTTTTCTGTGTTGTCACTGTTATATTTTTGGATAATGGCGAATTATATGTGTTCCATGGTTTATCGACCAGCGTTTTCCTGTTTGATCTCTTGTCGCTAGGATACATATATGTCTCAGAGATTTAGCGGTTTGCAAAATGTAATATCAGTACTGGAGTTTTGGATAATACATCTGTAGAACTCCTTTGATATTTCTTCTATATTGCTGTGCTTTTCTAATCTGTTAAAATCTAATAATGTTATTATTATCAATCTACTTTGTTGACACTGGTGTCAAAAGTCAAGAATGATAATTGATTGTTCACTAAAACCGCTTTGATGCAAATTAACAGTCAGGATTTGAGAGGTTTGTCAGAGACAAATACACCATTCTCCCTGAAACTCGAGAGAGGATGCTGGCCACAGAGGTGAATGCATCTTGGAGGTAGGAGTTAATTAGTGATGAGACATTAAGATACCTTTCTTATTTGTGATTGATTCTTGAAACTGAAACATATGTTAATGATGGCAGGTACTCGTATGACTCAGTTGCAAGCATCCCAACAAAAAAACTCTTCTTCAGCGAGAACTTCATGGATGTAAAGAAAGTTTTGATGGAAACTTTCTTTGGTCCTCCAGAAACTGGTGTGTATAGCCCTTCTGTCCAACGCACTCTATATCTTATGGGAAGCGCTGTACTGAGAAGGTATCAACATAGCTGTCTATACTCTCTTTGTTTTTATGTGATTATGTGATTCTTACCATGATTAGGTTCTTATTAACATGAACAGGTTTACTGATGTATCATCGATTCACCTGAAAATGCCAAATATTCACTTTCTACCTGTTAACCTTTCAACCAAGGAAAACCCTTCAATGGTGAAGGTAAGCATATCTATCTGATCTTGCCTTCTATGATGAAACCAAGAGACAAAGAAGACGATGATAATAATAGATAAACTATCGTAAACACTAAATAACAGTATGCTCAAATACATTTGGCTATACTTTTGCAGTTTAAAGATGATGTGTACCTGCCAACTGATGAACCTCATGGATCTATAGAAGCAACCATGAGCCGCATAACCTCCAAACTATAAGGTTTAAGACGATGCAACGACAAACTAAAGACTGTTTCATAGGTTCTGCAAAACTTTTGGCTTTTTCCTCGTTTATGAAATAAAAAGGGCTACACTGTGTTGTAATTTGTAATGATGGTTTCTACTGTTTCAAGCCCAAAGTTTTATTTGTGTATGTTCGTATAAGATTATCTCTTCACACCGGTAACAGTCCTTATAACCTATATTCAACTAGCTTCTTTCAATCAGGCCGATGTACAAACTGATTGGCTGATCGGATTGACTTACTTCTCCTTCGAGGTGAATTTTTTCTTAGCTTTTCATAGAGTCGAAGATCTCTTGATCTAGTACACGGGAAGGTTTATGCCAAAAAAGCTTCACCATTTATAATACAAAAGTGCACAGTTACACACATACGAGAGTATTTAAGGATTGAATCCATAAGGACTAAAGCAAGCACACAAAGGATTATATAGACTAGATTAAACTAGAACAACAAAGGAGTCACAGAGACTCATGAGTTTGGTATAAAAATTAAAACAATACTGATCATACAAGAAAGCACAAAGGAAGTGATGTTTGTTGCAAATGGATTAGATCTGGAAGATGGTGTTTCACCCAACCGAGTGACCAGCCTTCTCAACATATACCTAGAAGAAATTAAGAGTGATAAAAGGAAATTTCACGACTTTTACCTTATGTTGGCTACCGCGTAAACCAAATATCAAAGCGGACAAGTTAGCATGTAAACAATGTTTCTCGGCGTTGCCTCATATGAGTCATCTAATCTAATCTAATATCTAATATATTAAAGGAGTAGTCAAGAGGACTCACGTTCGCTCTCAGGAAAATAATTACCAGTTTACCTTTAATGAAAATATTCTCAGGCTTCTAATTTTTTGCTGATTCCTTTTTAAATTAAAACCAAACAAAAAACCAAAAAATATATAAACCAAAATCGTTTTTTAAAAATAAAAACAAAAAACTATTAGACCAAAATCTGATATGGTCTAAATCGATCTTTAAAAAAAAATAAAATTAGGGTTTTCAAGCAAATGGGCCTACGTAAAAAACCCGTAAAACTACACCTCCTTACTTGAAACCCTAAAATTAAATGGTAGTGTACTTCTATAAATACCTTAATAATTTGTGTTCTCTCTCCATAACTCAAAAATAAAAAAACTTGTTCCTACGGTTTCTATAATGTTCACAAATTTATATTTGTATGCTAATATTTGTAATTCGTGTTATTTATCTAATTTTTTTTTCCTCTTCGTGTAGTTGTTGTTTGGAAAGCAACATCAAAGAATCCTACAACTTTGTCTACGGTTACTTTACCTTTTAAAACATGTATATTATCTCAGTTTATATGTTTTAATCTCAATTTTTTTTTTGATTAAGCTTCGTTTCTAATCATTATATTTGTGACATGATTTAAACAATAATGTCCGGAGTAACGAAGGGCTCACATTCGCTTTCAAAAACCGGATTACTGTTTTACCCTTATTGAAAAATACTTCTAACATTTATTTTTTTGCTTTGCTTTTATTTAATGAAAACAAAACAAAACGAAGGGAATATAGCAAAAAAAATCAGAATTTATTTTTTAAAACCGAAAAAATAACCAAAGTTGGTATAATGTTTAAAAGTTAGGGTTTAAAAGAAATGTGCTTACGTAAAAAAAGCTCCCTAAAAATAGACCTCCTTAGCTGAAACCCAAAAACAATATGTCCTTTACTTCTATAAATACTAGGATTTTAATGTTTTCTCCATAACTAAAATACAACATCAATTCTTTTATTTACTATCATGTTCGCAGAATTATATTTGTATACTAATCTTTGTGCTTCATGTTATTTATTATCATCCTTTTTTCCCTATTTGTGTAGTGGTTGTTTGGGAAACAAAATAAAAAAAATCCGACGCCTTTGCCTATGCTTACATTACCTTTTGAATTAGGTATATTATCTCAATCCATATTGAGAATTTTTGATAAATACCCCTTTTGGTGTACCCCTTTTTAAATATACCCCCTTTATCTATCCATTTTCCAAAATACCCCTATTTAAATATAAAAAAATTATAAAGTTTATATAGTTTATAAGGTACTTATATATAATAACTACTACTGGGAGATTCGATACAAATATTTTAAAATGTTTTAAATAGTTTTAAATCGTTTTTATAAGGTTTTTAAAAGGTTTTTAAAAGGGTTTATACGGTTTTTATAAGGTTTTTATAAGGTTTTTATATAATTTATGTTTACGCTATTTATGAAAGGTATATAAAGTTTTATACACATATAAAGGTAATTTGTGTATATATTTATAAGCTTACAAACATATTTGGATAAATTTCAACATTTTTAAAAAGAGGTATATGAAAAGGGGTATTTTTGAAATTCCCCCATTTATATTTTTGTTTTCAACTGTGTAAATTTGTAGAAGCTTCTTTCTAATTATTATAGTTGTTAAATTATTGAAGATGATCTTAAGAAAAGCAAAACAATTTTGAAGACTAGGAAAAGTTTTATAAAACCTTGTAATTGTTGTTTTATTGAAAATCTTTTGGATAGATTTATAATATTTAGGAATTAGTTTTATTGTTTTCTATTAGAGTTTTACCTATGATCAGTTTAAATTTAAGTCTACTAAAAATTAAATTATAGATTATCAAATAGATCTAAAGCATCTAGATCACAAGCAGGGGCGGATCTAGAAAATTTGTTCAATGGGGCAAAAATATAGTAAAAAAAACTATCAAATACTAAATTATAAAAGACATAAAACTTTAAACATCTTACAAAACCACTCAGACGCTCATTTAACAATTGAAATTAGGTCTAGATTAGTAAGTCCTTAATTTATATATTAATATATATTTTTTTGGTACATTGATTAATGGGCTTTCCAAGAAAAAGGATGAAAAGTAGTTTTTTTGGTGGGGACATATTTTGTTTTCTAATAATATTTAATAATTTTTTAATAATTTTTTTTTTGTTGGTGGCAGCTGCCCCCACCACCTTGGCTGTGGGTCCACCCCTGATCACACCCCTGATCACAAGCAAGTCAAAACATAATTTCATTAACCAAAGTTATACGTTAATAAATCCAAAAGTTAAAAATATCCAATACCAAGAAATGAAAGTAAAAATTTTCCTAATAAATAGTAAATATAAAACATTTAAAAATTTGGTGTTTGTATATATGATAGCTATTATCCAAATAACTCGATGTGTTTAATATTTTATATTGAAGACATCCAAAACTAATTTACATAGGTTAAAATTAAAATATAGAGACATAAATATTATAATGTTGAATTTTAGGTAAAACTAGATTTGGACCCGCATGTACTTGCAGGATTGATTTTCAAAATAAAATTTGTTATTAAATTTTGAAATATATTGCGTGCATACGGAATATATTTGTAAACGTAACTTTTAGGAATATTATTAACATTTATAATCTAAACCCGTACAAGTTCAATATTTGATTTGTTTTTAAATCACTCTAAACAAAAACGAACGATACAATTTTGTTTTGGACAGATGTACACTAAAAAAATAGTAAAAAAAAAGTGGTTTGTATATTTTAGGACAGAAATCATGACCCGTGCGTCCTTATATTTCATGTACTCATGTTTTTCCATCTCATAACCATTTTAATAATAATTTACTCATTTAAGATGGTATATTTTTTTCGAACATATAAGAAAATAAGTTCACGATTTAAACTTACACGTAAATGTGGGGTTTTATTTGTAGTAATTTTTTTTATTGGAAATGTCTATATTTTAGGTGGTAGTAATTAATATTGTGTGCACATTTGGTAAGTAGACATGGTTAATGAATTTATATTTTTAAAGAATCAAAATATAGTTAGTATTTTAATCATATCTGTTAAGATTCAGATTCTGAATTTTTATATTGCTATATATTTAAAAGATCTCACATATAATTACTATTGTATTGATTGAGTTGTTATATATGTGCTAATTAATGAAGATTTTTTTTTTTAATAGATTTCCTTATATTGAGTATTATGTTTTAAAATATAATCTTTTGGAAATTAATTGGAAAGATCCAAACATAAGATTTTGACAACTTAAATATCCGATTTTTTTTTTAAATATCAGATATATATAATCTTAAGGAGGTTGGGCTATAGATTTGGGATCACATAAAATGTTTTTTTTTTTAAGATTATATAATTTTTGAACATTTAATGATATGTTGTATATTTCTCCACATTTTATGCTATGTACAACTTTATTAGTCGTTTATTCCTAATATAACATAATTATTTTTCTTTTTATTTTTCATAAAATCTCATATTTTTTTCTAACATAATTATTTTTCTTTTTATTTTTCATAAAATATCATATTAGAAAATACATATAACTAAAATTAAAATATTTAGATATAGTAGATAGTTTTTTTGATGTCTTTAAATGTGTTTGGCTACAGGATTGACATCATATTTTTGTTTTTTTTAATTTTAATCTTGTTTTGCAACACTTACAAAAAGTGCTCCCCTTTTAAGTATAGACTAGATTTGGACCCGCACATACGTGCGGGGTTGATTGCAAAACCTAAGTTTATCATAAAGTTTGCAATATTCGGATCGACAAGATAAGAGATCCGGATCGAGTGTGAATCGAATAAATGATAAGTTAGAAATCAATTAAATTTATGTACTATCACATCACATAAAAACGATAGAAAACATATTTTAAAGCATATTATTTTCATTTGAAAATCTGTTATTAATTCTGTTTGGCTATAGGTTTAGATCACATTTTATTTCATTATTTTGATTTAATCTTGTTTGGCAACACTTACAAAAAATGCTTCCCTTTTAATAGTATAGATTTCCAAAAGAATAAGAATATCCATATCTATATGTTGACAATTATTTTCCTATTGGCTTAGTCTCAATTGCATTTTTCCATACAACTTAACTTATTATCGTACTTGCTATTGAAAAAAGAGAAAATTTTGAGAAATACCCCTTTTGGTGTATCCCTTTTTAAAAATACCCCTTTTATCTATCCATTTTCAAAAATACCCTTTTTAAAATATAAAAAATTATAAAGTTTTATATAGTTTATAAGGTACTTCTATATAATAACTACTACTGGGAGATTCGATACAAATATTTTAAAATGTTTTAAATAGTTTTAAATAGTTTTTATAAGTTTTATAAGGTTTTTAAAAGGTTTTTAAAAGGATTTATACGGTTTTTATAAGGTTTTTATAAGATTTTATAATTTATTTTTACGCTATTTATGAAGGTATATAAAGTTTTATACACAAATAAAGGTAATTTATGTATATATTTATAAGCTTACACACATATTTGGATAAATTTCAACATTTTTAGTGGGTTTTTGATAAAGTTTGAAAATTGGGTATTTTTAAAAAGAGGTATATGAAAAGGGGTATTTTTGAAATTCCCCAAAAAAAAAATCAACTTCTCTCTAATTTTTATGGTTACTGCTATATAATTTGGTCAAAAATATTGAATGCATAGATAAAAAATCAAAATTATTAAAAACCTCAAATTTTTTTTATAAAAACACAAATGAAATAAATATATTAACTAAGCTATGATCTCTCATTTAAAATTTTATAAAGTTTCTCAAAATTTTACAAATTTGTTTCAAAATATTTCAAAATCATAAAATTTTCTAAAAAGACATATTGGTTAACTAACAATGTCATGTTACAGTTGTATATGTATTTTCTTTATGATTTTTTTTCATAGGGTTTATTAAAATTTTTCTATTTTAGTAAAAAGTGACCGAGTCAAAAGCTTAAACATATCAAATGAGAAAAAAATGAGATGACTCAGTCAAGATCCCTTTAAATTGAAAAGGGTGTAATTAGCTTCAAATATATATGTTTTGTCACAAAACTTTTGTGAAAGCATCTAATTTATTCTCTATACTAGATGATGACCCGCACGTACGTGCGGCTGTATTTTCAAAGCATAGTTTGCTGGTTTAGTTTTCTTAAATAATGTAATGTGATTTGGCTTTTTATAATTTTTTTATTTCATTTAGTTGAAGGATTAATGATTGCATTTGTTAACTGGAGTAGTATAATAGAAATTGTTGAATTGGAAAACCAAAGTTTATGATGAGAAAGTCTTGAAGATGGTATTGAAAGAAAATGTAACCGAAGTCATACTTGGAGGAAATGAAAAAACAAATAGAGAATTATAATTTAAAGGTTCTTGAACACTTCTTTAAAGACCACATTGGTTGTCATTAGTTCCTGCCATTTTTTTGATAGAAAAAATGTGTTTATCGCTAATAATCTTTTGAGAGGATTATACACCATCGATGGATTCTTATCTTATTTATATTAATACTAATGGAACTTAGAATATTCTTGGTATTTTTTATTTTCATATATTTAGTTGTTAATGTTTGATATAGTTTTGAATTTCGAAATTGTTAGGTATGATTTTTGGGTTTAGGAAACAAAATTAATCGTGATTTGATGAATCAAAACTAATGAATAAATTGTTTGCTATATATTAGGAATGTATTTTTATGAGTGATTATATTATTTAATCATCTCTAGCAAAATTTTCGTTGATGATGACTTATTAAATTTTATAATTTTAATTTATTTATATAATTGTTTCTATAATTTTGAAGTAATGAACAAATTGTTTGCTATATTTTAGCATAACACTAAAATTTCCATCGATGATGGTTCATTTAATTTTATGAGTTTATTTTTTATATATAATTGTTTCTATAATTTAGGGATTCGAAGTAATTCATAAACTGTTTAAATTTAGCTATTAATGTTTATTATAGTTTTGAATTTCGAAATTTTCGGTATGATTTTTTGGTTTAGGAAACAAAATTAATATGAATCTAAACTAATGAATAAATTGTT